CGCCTTAACTCTTGCTCGACCTCCCGGCTCAGTTCCACGGTCCCTCCCGGGAGCCTCCCCCAGGCCCGAGAAGAGCCACCTCCACCCCCTCCCCACCCCCCGCCCTCCGAATGGCTGCACACAATTCACAGGGCCAAAGGCAGAATGAAAATGCATGAATATTCTGAGTCTCCGCAAGGCAAGAGCAGAGCCCGGAACCCAGCAGAGCCCGCGTGACACAGGGCCCCGAGGGAGGGCACCGGTCGCACGCCCACGAGGTCAGCCCTGCTCTGAGGACTTCCTGTGTCCATCCTTCATTCCTTCCCTCCAAATTCCCTCGTGCAATCGTTTAATTAAAGTTGGAAGTCCCCAAGAGCAGGGCCAGCATAGGTTTTACATACGACTCCGTCTTCCCAGCTCCTGGCACAGTGCTCAGGAAATATGCTAAATAAATGAACGGAAAGGGGTGGAGGAGACAGAGGAGGGAGAAGGAGGGAGGACTGGACCAGACAGAGAGGGACGGAAGAGAGGAGAAGGCAGGTGCATGGGAAATCGCCAGGGAGCCGGCGGGGGCTCGGGGCAGGGAACAGGGCGGTACTCACTGCTGGTCGAGGGGCTGTCCGTGCCGTCCAGCTCCACCCTGGGGAAGCTGCGCCGGGAACGGGCCGTGAGCAGCGCAGACTCGATGGCCCTCTCGTGGGCGGTGAGCACGACGGTGGGGGCCCGGCCCCCGGCCCCGGGGCCAGACAGCGACTGCTGCATGAAGGCCAGCTTGTCCTTGGTCCTCCGTTTCATGTCATCCCATCTGTGCTTAATGTCCTTGACGGAGCGGGGGACCTGGCTGACGGAGGTGATTTTCCGAGCTATGCCTTCCCAAATCTTGTCCCTGTCGGCATGGGACAGCCGCATGGTCTCCCTCCCAAACAGAACCGCTTCGTGACGGGTCACCTCCGTGACCAGAATGTCCAGCTCCTCCTTCGAGAACTTGGGCTTCCTCTTGCGCTCGGCCAGGGGCGCCACATTCCTTGGGTTGAATATCCCACAAAGCACAATTGGGTAAATGACCGTCAACGCGGGTGGTCCTCCTCCTTCCTACTTGCCGGCCACCAGTTGGGGAGCCGGGAGGCACCAGGGCGCCCTCGTCCGCTCACCACCACCACACCCTCCTCCTACCGAGAGGTCCCTTCCAGCACCCCTCAGAGGGCGGGAAGCGGCACGGTGCACGTGGGTGGGAGCGCTGGCCCGAGTCACACGCCTTCGGATTCGGGCCCTGCCTGACCTCTGAGCGGCTGGGCGAGCAGGGCAGCTCACTCAACCTCTCCCACTGCCTGGACCGGGAATAACGACCACACCAACCTGGTCGGGGGGGCAGGGGGAGCATAGTGATGTCAAGGAGCTTTAAAGCCCTAAACAGGAACAAAGGATCCTTATTAGGGTTAGGATCCCACGCGGCCTCTATAAATGGCTCGGAGGAAGGACATTTAAACAGGGAGACTATTTACACTGGGCCTCTGTGGTGTGTGGCCTCTGGTGACGCCCATCACAGTGTATTCACAGAAAGCTTATTTGGTCCCGCGGCTCTCTTCTCCTTCCTGGTCCCCCAGTCCCTGCCCAGTCCCCACATCTGGGCATGTGCAGGCTCCCCTCTAACTGGAGCGCTGGCTGGCGGCAGCTCCTGTTGAGGTGGGCATCTGCGGATTTGGGGCAGCTCATGGGTGCAATGTGAGGAGCCCACGAGCTCCCTCCTGGAGACGAGTTCCCCTGGGCTGGAGGCCAGGAGTGACCTCGGCTTCCATCTGCACAGAACAGCCAGGGGCCCCAGGCAAGGGGACAGCGTGGCCCTTCCCACATGTGACCTGGCTTTGGAAGTCACTTTCTCCACAGCGTGGCTCTGTCCACCCTTTGTCTAATGCCAAAATGTCCCGAAGATCCACGCAAGAGAGATACCGGGTAGGGAGGGGAACCTGGAGCCCAACTCGTGCCTCTGGCTGCCGCGGAAACCACAATGAGGCCAGGGGCACAAAGATCCTTCAGCCCTCACCTCCCACCCCACCCACCAGGATACCACGGCCCAGGAAGCGGGAGAGGAAGGCTGGGGCTCTGTTCCCCGGGCAGACAGCGTAGGGCCCCATCCTTGCACTCACAGGCCTGGGACTAGAAGCTGCGTCTCCTGTGCGAATCCCGCGTCCCCCTCTGTAAGAAGAGGGTGGTAACTACTGCCACCTCCCAGGGCTGCTGCCAGGGGCTCATGGGGGATTCTCCGTCTGGCCACTGTTGGCGTTTGGGGCTGGAAAAATTCTGTTAGTGGGGTAGGGGCGTCCTGGGCAATGGAGGATGCTGATCAGCACCCTTGGCTTCTGTCTGCTAGAAACCAGCAGCATTCACCCGCAGAGTTGCGACTCCAAGAACGTCCCGGGGCACGGCCAAATGCCCCCAGCCAGCAGAACGGCCCCTGGTTTCCGCCCACTGATTGCATGAACACGGAACATCCAGCACAGGGATGTCACAAAGTCAACACTCATTATGTGGGTACCAGCTCTCTTCCCGCCCACCACTTGTTCTTTGAAGAAACTGACTATCATTCGGTCACCCTCAAGACCCTAAGCTGGGACAGTCCGAGCGAAGGTGTCTGCAAATAAGAAGGAGCTATGGAAAGTGTACCTTAAGAGACAAGGAGGTTCCCAGCGTGAACTGGCTTCCCCCCAACAACACCGGAGGGCATCTCCATGGCAACACACCACACACCCAACCCCAACCCACTCAACCATCTCCTTGAGTCTTTAGTGAGATGAGGGCCCACCGGCTGTGACTACCCTGGCGCCATCTTGGATCAGAACAGGGCTGGGAGCAGGAGCAGGTCAGATCCCACGCCAGCGACGTCGTGGCCCCACAACCCACCCCACACAAGGCCCGGGAAGCCACACTCCTCCCGGTCCCTTGTGCACAAGCAGAAGGAAGGCTAGCCCGGAAGTCCAGAGGCGGGTTCACGTCCTGCCTCTGCCACGGACCGCATGACGGCGAGTCAGACCTTGCTCTGCTCTGGGCCTCAGTTTGACCACTGTGACCTGAAGAGCGGTACAGAGCAGGGGTTCTCAGAATCACCGTGGAGAGCTTTACGAAATACCAACGCCCCGGGCTCAGCCCGGCCCAGGGAAGTCAGAAACTCTGGGGTGCCAGAGGACCACTCAGTCAGTCCAGAGGAGGGATGTCTTTCTTTGGGGTTGCAGAAAGCCTCGTCCCCAAGCTGAGATCAGAGACGGGTGGAAGAGCGACACAGAATCGGCTGTACCGGCCAAAGCTTGGGGAGCCTTGAAGGCAACAGGAGGAAGCCCTGATGCCAGCCGACACTCAGACACACTCTCCTCCGCTTGCGAGAGCCAGACGGGGGCCATCGGGACCGCGAGCACAGGCCCGGGCTCTGGGCCATGCAGCCCACCCAACGGCCTGGGGACGCCTGGTCCTCGTTTCTGTGTCTCTGCTCACAGCGCCCTCAAACGTACTCCTGGCCCCTTGAAGGCCCAGCTCAAAGGCCCCCTCCTCGTTCTGCTGGGCCTTGCAGCACCTCAGCTGTGCCCTCATTCAACAACTGTGTTAGAAAAGGCATCTTCCTCAGTGGGAGCTGTGAGACCCGGGAGGGCCAGGCCGCTGACCCACCGAGGGCACCCGATACAGGGTCTGCCCTGTAAATGGGTGGTGGGGTGTACGTGCTGATCCCCACCCAGCGGTCAGGGAGAAGAGGAAGGCTGTTGGGAGTGTCGATCGCCGTCCTGAGCCACTGTCAGGGCACGGCTGATGGGATGACGTGAAAGGGACCTGAGGCGCCCTGGGTGCCTCTGCTTTTGCACCTGTTCAGTGGCAGTGAGAAGAGCTGCCCCAGCAAATGAAAGCATGAATCCTAAGGTGCTCTGGAGAGTGTAGACTGAGGCCCGCCCCTCAGCGGATCTCAGCTGGGAACACAGGTGGGCAGGGAGGCCGTGCGGAAGGGGACAGGACACCTGGTCATGGATGCCCCACCTCCAGCCAATTTCTCCTCCTGTGCTTGGAATAGTCTCAGAGTTTACAGGCAGCAAGCTCCCTCCGAAAAGCCCCTCCCCGCCCTCCTTCAAGCACAATCTCTCCTGCCTCCGCCCCCTCCAGCCCCATGAATCAGGGAGCTGCATAGATGCCGACGGGTGGCCCGATTCACAGCGTGGTTGTGCCCCTGGGTCCAGCCACCCAGGGCTCCTTTCTCTCCCAACCCAGACTCAACCCTCCCTCCAATGCTCCAGGGTCCCAGACAGAGGCCACCAAGCAGGCCACAAGGTAAGTCCAACCTCCCCACAGCCCAGAGACCCCTCCAGGCAGGGTCCTGGCACAGCACACAGGCCAGAGGCCAGAACTAAGAGCAGAGCCCCACGCTCAGCCCATGGTTCCAGGCTCAGCTCAGCTGCTTCCAGGCAGCCCTGGGCCAGGCTCCCGCTCCCTCTGGCTGGCCATGAAGCATCCTGCTAGTGCAGACTTCTGTCCCAAACACCGGACCACGGCAAAACCACTCTTGAAAGCACTTATGCCTGGGCAGCAAGCACCCATCGAAAACCGAGCTAGAGAATGTGCCGGAAGCCTCCTTCTCCATGGGGGCCATTTAGACCACTGTTGGTGGCTGCCCTGGGACGCGCTGTGCCCCACCCCAGTAGGAGTCTGCCCTGTGAGAGGTGTCCCAGTCCTGGGTGGAGGGACAGCCCTCCTCGGCGGGGATGCTGTCAGGAGCCAGGGGCCTGGGGACTTCAGACACTGGCAAGTATGCAGTCTCTAGGGGTCCCTGGAGCCCACTGACCTGGCCTCAGGCCTCCTCGAGCTCCCTGATAGAAGGCCGGGGGAGCAAGAGGGACCCCAGAGCTAGACACGTCCCAAACCCTGCAATAGGCAGTCCCGGGCCTTTGGGCCTCCACCACTGGAGACCCCACGGGCCCAGCACGCTCCCTCGGCCTCCTTTCCAGAGTTCGGGCAGGGCTCCCGGGAAATCTGCAGAGAGCAGGACTCACCTCATCCAATTGGCTTTAGTCTCGTCGGACCCGTCTATGGACTTGTAGCGGTTGTTCTTGTCCACAATCTGGAAGACAGAGAGACAGTCTAGAAAGGGCCATCTGAGAGGGGGCTCGTGTCCTCGGGCTCCTCCCCAAACCAGGGCCCCGGGCCTGGCCCCATCTGCGACCGCACAGAACCTGCCCTATGCCCCCCAGCCACGATGCCCCCACCGCAGCGGGACTGAAACCTGGGCCCGGCCAGGAATCACACCTCCCGGCTCTGTCTGGAGGGAACAGCAGCACGCGGCTGAGGAGCAGCATGTCCTCCAGCCTCCCGTGGTGGCGTCCGCCCGCCTCTCTCACTGTCTCTGTGGAGACCGGCCGGCACGTGTGATGGAGAGGCCTCTCCGTCTCCCCAGTCTCTGAACGTTCCAGAGCCGCGGGGTTTGGGCTGGTCCTTCTGTCTTCTGTAACACTGTCTTTATTTCATCACCTCTCTTGAATCAGAATTCAGCTGGGTGTGGGCTTCCAAGCAGATGAAGCTTTATTTTCTTCGAGCGCTTTGAAGATTTCCAAAAAGGTTGCATAGGGGCTTAAGCAACCTCGTGCTACTCTAACGTTGTTCATTTGTGGATAATAATCTCCCTACAGTAAATTTGCAGACTTGCCCTTGATTCCTGATTTTTCTGCAGTTTCTCTATGTGGTTTTGAGGTGGAGATTTCCTTTTGAAAAATTCTCCTCATGACTTGATGAGCACTTCCATTTCTTTTTCAATTCTGGAAAATTCTCAGCTTTTATGCTAGTGAGTATGGCTTCTCAGGCATCTTCTCCAGCTTCTTCTTGTAGAATTTCTATTAAACATATATGAGAACAGCCCACTCTATTCCCCACGTCCTGTAACTATCCTTCCCTATTTTTCTCTTTATCTTTTTGGGCAATGCTCTGGGAAAATTCCTCAAAACTCTCTTCCAATTCACTAATTCTCTCTTTGACTGTGTCCAGTCCAGAATTTATCCATCCATTGAAGTTCTTCCTTTCTTTTTTTCCGTCCTTTTTTAACAAGTACTTTTAATGCAATGAATCTTTTTCATTCCCAGAATTTTTAATTCGTTCTTTTTCACATCCATCTTTTTTTTTTTTTTCAATCATCCTCCCTGTTTTTGTTTCATGACATGGTCCTTCTTTTTCCTTTTCTAACAGTTTTATTGAAGTATAACTGACATATAATGTACCATTTGATAAATTCTGACAAATGGGTACACTCATCCTCACAATCAAGATAACAAACGATTCCATCACCCCCAAGAGCTTCTTCGTGCCCCCGTTATCTCTGCTTCCTTCCTCTCTCTGTGCCTCCTGTCCCCATCCACAGGCAACCAGTGAGCTACTTTCTGTCACTATAAATTACTTTTCATTTTCTATAATTTTATATAAATGGAATCAAATGGAAGCTGTGTCTGGTTTCTTTCACTTAGCACAATCATTGTGAGATTTGTCCATATCGCTGTGGGCATCAGAGTTCACTGCTTTGTATCAGTGAGTAGTATTTCATTGTTTGGGTGTGCCACGATTTGGTTTTCTATCTATTTATTGATGGACATCTGATTGTGTCTAGTTTTTGGCTACAAATACAGCCGCAGAGAAAATTCCCTTACAAGTCTTTGTATAGACACACACACTTTAATTTCCCTTGGCAAATACCTAGTAGTCAAATGGCTGGGTCACAGCATGTGACCAAAGTATAGGCTTGATTCTCAAGAAACAGCTCAACTGTTTGTCAAAGCAGTTGCACCATTTCACACGCCCACCAGCAGTGTCTGGACCCACCAGTTGGTCCACATCCTTGCCAATACTTGGTATGCACAGTCTTTTATTTTCGCCATCCCAGCAGGTATGAAGCAGTGTCTCATTGTGGTTTTAATTTGCATTGCTCTGATTACTAATGATACTGAGCATCTTTTTTATGCACTTATTTGTCAGCTGCATATCTTCTTTGGTGAAGCGTCTGTTCAAATTTTTTGCCCAGTTTTTTAAGTTGGGTTTTTGCCTTATTGTTGGGTTTTGAGAGTTTTTAAAAAATATAAATTGGAGGGGCCAGCCCTGTGGCCTCGTGGTTAAGTTCAGCACGCTCTGCTCCAGTGGCCTGGGTTCTGTTCCCAGGCACAGACCTACTCCACTCATCGGCGGCTGTGCTGTGGTGGGGACCCGCAAACAAAATAGAGGAAGATTGGTGCAGATGTTAGCTCAGGGCCAATCTTCTTCAGAATAACATATATATATAAAGTGATACAAGTCCCTTATCAGACATATCATTTGCAAATATTTTCTCCTAGTCTGTAAGTTATTTATTCCTTCTCTTAATGGTGTCTTTCTAAGAGCAAAGGTTTTAAATTCACACAAACAAACAAAACTCACTGTCTTGCTTTTTTTTAACAGATGTTATCCTTCCTTTATTTCTGTGAGGATCCTAAGGCTGAGACTGCTAATTAGCCCTCATTATCTATTATCCCCTTCATCCACAGAAACAGAACCCCCGATTATAACTGGGCACCTGGCTACCTGTAGTAACAGAATACATGTCTTGGCTTCTCCTCTAGCTAAGTTCTGGCCAATAGGATGTAGGTGGAAGTGTCATGTGTCAGCTTCCTGAAAACTTCTTCAAAAGACAGCAGATACATACCCTTCCACCATCCTGCTGCCTGGAATGCAGATGTGATGGCTGGAGCACTAGCTATCAACTTGGATTATGAGGATAATCCAAGCATTGAGACAGTGAAGTGACAAGCTGGATCAAGCTTGGTTTCCTGGGGACTTTGTGGAGCAGAGGCAACTCATCAGGCCTAGAATGTGCTCATAAAAGAAAACTAAACTCCTGTGTTGCTTGAGCTACTGTTATTTCGAATCTCCATTACTCACAGTCAAAACTACTCCTGATACAGACCCTAAACAGTTATTTTAAATTCATTTTCAGAATACACTACAATTTTTATTCTAATTAGAGTGAATTCATTTGTCATCGATTTTTGGAAGCTGTCTTTGTAACCTTAATTTTCTTCATTAGTCTCGGAGATTTCGTGTGGGGCTTATCTTGAGTGGGCGTCTCTCTGCCTGTCTGTCTCTCTTTTTCTCTCCTGCTTTTCCTCACTTCGAGCAGTCCACGTGGCTTCACTCTCCACCTCACGTGGGACACTTTGACTTCATATTGCCCTCAGCAGCTGCCACTGACCGTCACCTCTGCCTGCTCTAGACGGAGCCGTGGGCCTTCGCTTTCAGCTCTGTGATCACCTCCTCTTTCTTTCCTTCTTCTCCTCCCCTCCCCTCCCTTCTCTTCTCTTCCCTTCTCTCCTTCCTCTCTCCTTCCTTCTCTCCCTCTCCTTTCCTTTCCTCTCCACACACACCTTCTTGGCCGGTACTCTGTGGAGAGTCACATCCACTCCCACACTCCGGATTTATTTATCCCTCCCAAACTTTCACCTCCAGCCCCAGACGTCAATACCTAACTGCCCCCCTGACTCCCGCGCCACCCCCCCGACGTCTCAGGAGCAGCTCAAACCTACCTCAGGCCCCGCCCCCGAGCCCGTTCCTCCATTTATCCCATCACAGTATTTGATACACCATCCACTCAGGTTAAAAAAAAAAGTCATTCTTTACCCAAAACCAGTGAATTGTGCACTAGAAACGAGTGAAGTGTATGGCGTGTGAGCTATAGCTCCACAAAGCTGTTGAAAAGGCAGAAAGCCATCCTCCATTCTTCGCCCTCTCAGCCCCCATTTCCAATCCCTGGGATGGTCCTCCAGTGAGGTTTGAACTTGTCTCTCCCCCGCTTCCTGCTCTCTTCGCGGCACAAGAGATGCTAACTAGCCTCCCTGAGGCCATTCCCAACTCTCCTCATTCTCCCCGTGCAGCCAGAGGACGCCTTCATCAGCATAAGTCAGATCTCATCTCGTCACTCTCCCGCTGAAGAGTGGACCCACCGCACTTATGAGAACATTCGCACTCGTGCGCAGGCCCTCAAGGCCGTAGGACCTGGTCCCCGCCTGGTCCCCGCATGACCTGGTGCCTCCCTGCTTCTCGGGGGCCTCGGTCTCCCCCTTCACTTTTCTGCAGCCACGATGATCTGAGACGGCCCTTCACCCTGGGCGGGTCTGCTGCCTACAACCTCTTTTCCTCACTCTCAAAAAAACAATAATCAGGAAATATTTCAAGCATTCAGAAATTATAAAGAATAATACAGCTGACAACCCCACACCTATCAACTGGAGCCAACAAAAATTCCCACCAGCCATATTTGTCCCAGACCTCTCTCTCCTCCGGCTCCAAGAAAATGCCCAGATGTAGTTGAAGACCGGCCTGCCCCTCCCGGGTACCCACCATCCCGAGGCGGTAGGGGGCCTTCTCGCTTTTACTGTAAAGGACGGCTGGATAAACAGCGCGCACATGTCAAGTTTCAGAAATGGTACCCAAGCGAACACAGGGTTTTGCACTTTTTTCCCATTCAGTTTTATATGGCTGGTCCCTTCTCATCTCTTGGGTCTCGTTTCCATCACCTCCTCAGAGGAAGCCTTTCCTGACCTGAACCTAAAGTGGCTTCTCCCCCGCCATCACCCTGACCTCCACACGCCTGCCCCCCGTCAGCATTACCCTATGACGTCATCCCGTTACATCTTTTAGAGACCTAATTAAGGGCTGCATTTTGGTTGTTGATGGTGCTTATCTATTTGTTGATTTGGTAAGTGACTATTTCCCTCATTAGACCTTAAGCTAATGAGGGCAAAGCACAGGGCTAGCCCATTCACGATGGTGGCCTGGCCCCGGTTCCTTTTTTTTCAAAAGATTGGTACCTGAGCTAACATCTGTTGCCAATCTTCTCTTTTTTTTCCTTCTTCTTCTTCTCCCCAAAGCCCCCCACTACATAGTCGTATATTCTAGTTGCGAGGGCCTCTGGTTGTGGCATGTGGGATGCCACCTCAGCGTGGCCTGATGAGCAGTGCCATGTCCGTGCCCAGGATCCAAACCGGTGAAACCCTGGGCCCTTGAAGCAGAGCACATGAGCTTAACCACTCGGCCACGGGGCCGGCCCCTGGC